CATCCTCTTATCCTGGATGTCAGTCTGCAGCATTACAAAAACAATTCTTGTCAGTATCACTTGATCATTTTCTGCTGAGCCTGCCAGGCTGCGCTGTTTGAATCATACTTTCCAGATTCAAACAGAGGGGATTTTACAGACATCAAAGTTATTGGGGAGTTAAGTGGATGATTGCTTTGAAACTAGTTTGGCAAAACAAATGCCATGAGGGGCTTTAGGTTCTGCAGAACTTTCTCATTTCTTTCTGAATAAAACAATATAGGTCAAGCCAGTGCATGCGAATGGATTCAGACCTCAACTCTGATACCCCTTGCAATGCCAAACGCCTGCAGAACAGAGCCAGGCAAGCACCCAGCCTTTTCCCTGACCGATGCCAGGATTCAGCCTCCCTCATCTTCTATCTACCTCCCTTCCGGATTTAGTTTAGCATTTCATTAGCTTAAATACAGACAGAGATTTTGATTTTATTTCACTTTCAGGTTTTGTAGCTGTATGCTTATGTGTATGCTGGAATAAAACTAGCCAGGATGTCTATTACATAGTCATTAGTAGGCTACCCAGTTCATCATGAAAAAGAGCCTATTAGCCAATGTCCCCTCCGGCTTTCAGCAAAATCAAACTACACTTGTCAGGAATGCCCCTTAACACACCCACCTCTTACTCATACACTGAACTCTGTACTCATGCTAAATCAACAACATCTCAGCTTTTCTTGCTCTGCCGCCCACCTTTCTGTTCAAATTCCCTACGCTCCTCTCTGTGATATACAGCTGATCATGCTGTTTCGGCAAAGTCAAAATAGCTATGTGTGTTGTACTGTACAGAATGGAACAGTCTTAACAATGAGCTGGAGATGTTTTGGCTCCTTTCTGACAGAGAACAGATGGCACAGAAAGACTCATCTGCATACAGGATTGGACCTCTCCCAGCCATTCAAAAAACAGTGAATTTTCCTATTTAGGCACACAGTTATCTTGCAACAGAAGCTCATCTCATCAAAAGTCATCCCATTAAAAATTCATTGAGGTGTGGATGCTTATCATAAGCAATATATCACATCTGACAACAACACGATGTGCAGCGTTGTAAAGCATTATCACAAGGACGTGCACAAGGCCGAGCTAAAATTGCCTGGACAACAGCACATTTACCCTCTGCTATTTGCCCATTTGCCCTTTGCCTGTGTTGCCCCTCTAGACGAATATTTAATTTTTACTGCTGTGGCTGCATAAAAATTTAATCGCCATATCATCCTAGATTTTATTATGCAACTTTATGATAGGCATGCCTGCACGGGAAACTGAGATGTGGTGGCCCAAGGCTGTAGAAAAAAAAGCAATGTGACACTATAGCATCCAATCTCTGTATTGTTGCCGTTGTGTGAGGGCTGCAATATTTTTTTAACTCTCCCTTCTCTGCCTCTTTTTCTAACATTCCTACCCTAACCCTAACCAATCTTATTCCTCATCCCTAAACTTAGCCAACCAAACAAGTGCGAGTCATGACTTTGTCCAAAAATTTGCTCCTTTGGAGTTGTGGAGATGATTAATAACAAATGGTATAACCAACAGGATATCCTGTGAATACAAATCTCCACATATGCTTCCGAACAATCAGTAGCTTGGCAATATTGCCCTATTTTATGCTATCACGTGACCCAATCTAAGGAAGCTAGCTGGCTAACATGCAGTAGGGTTAGGGGTCGTGATATATTTTTCAGTTTAGAGCAACAGTGTCTCAAAATGTTATATGCACGCACCTGCACTTTCACATTCTTCAGTAATACTTAATCCATCACTAAAAACTCAGCAGTCTCTCAGAAGCATCAATAAAGAAAGTTATATCCAAACTTTGTATGGAACCAGGAAAAAACAAAGTCCCTGCAGTCATTTAAGGCTCTCTACATCTTCTGCCATAGATTGTAAATTGGGGACTGTCAGAGGAGTACAGAAACCACTGAAACTGTCCAAACTGAGTCAGTTGCATTGTGTTCATCTTTTCTTAACCCGAACCAGATTATTTTCCCGCCTATGTTTATTCTGTAACCACCAGGAATGCCACACACAAACGTGTCCAACAGTAGGATTTATCCAGCTTCATTCTCCATTGACCGCTGTGCCTTGAACAGCTTGTTGGGATGGAGATTTTTTTTAGTTGTAAAAAATGGTTTACAAGTAAATGTGACTTATAAGTGGCCAACTTCATCGCTCTCGGACAACTTTGTCAGTTTTTTAACAGTTGAACAGTTATTTTTTTTAATAAGTAATAATTCAACAAAAATAATTTGGTGCAAAATTCAATCAGAACCTTCCAGACAATGTGACATCACAGTGAAAAATCAGTGCTTTAATGAGTCTGCAATGCTGGTGTGAAAAATAACTTATGTAGATTTCAGTACTGCAATTACAATAATCAGATATTTTCAGTGTCACACAGATACTGTTTAAACCACTGCTGTTGTATTTGTGTAAACATCTCCCAAATGTTTGCAGTGCAACAAAACACAGTAGACAGCTCAGACAGAGATGTAGTACTTCAGAATTCTCTTAAATAACATTCCCATCAATGCAGAGCCAGTGTTTGCTTGGGTCTCAAAGTCACAGTAGTTATTCCCCAGCAGCTATTGGCCAGTTCAGCACAGGTCCACAGATGGTGCAAACCACAGAAGGTCGAATATCATCTCTTTTGGTTATTGTGTTTTTAAATCACTATTCCTTTTATTATTCATTTTCACCATTAAAAATAATAAAACATAACATGAAGTTATATAGGATGGTATTATTCAATTATGAAAGGGTAGTCAAAGCTAAAACATGTGTGCATATGTGAGTTATAACTGTAACTGTGGGGTCTGAATGATTATTCAGAATAAACTTTTGGCTTGATGACATCTGGCCCCACACAAGCTCAATGGGATTTTAGGATGCACACAAACACTTCACTGAAAGTTTCATTTCTTCCTTCTGTCAAATTAAACAATGAGTGACATGAATGTGGACAAACTCTAACTTCCAGTGTACAATCTCGGCACACCTCAATGTGGTTGTATAGTGTTTTGTGTATTGGGATCCCCCTTACTAGTTGCCTAACAGCTACTCTTCCTGGGGTCACTATCAAAGAAAGTACATATAATCAGCCATTTTTGCACTTACACTGCATACAGTAAACAATAAGCTACAACATTGCATGCAAGAATAAAAGTACATGAAAACCAAACTATTAAAAGAGAACAACTTAAATGGGTTGACAAAATAATAACAAGAGTTCACTGGAAAAAAGTACTTATCTGGGTGTATTGTTTGTGGTATTGTGCCCAGTAACCAGGGCCCAGGGGGCTTTGTTGAAGTGAAATTTTATTTTTTTTTCCCACACACCTTGACAGCAGTTCCCATACATGACAAGACCAATTTATTCATTGAAGAAATTGTTTCCATTGTACAGTCATTTATACCACCACAAATACTGTTGCAGTGGTGTCGTCAGACATGAACAAACTTCTTAAATTGCAAACAAAGAACTTGTCTCCCATCCCATGCATTACAAACACAATCTGCCACAGAAAGGCTTTTTTTTAAATTAGTCATCCATTCAGAAGTATTCAGTAGAAATGAAGGACAAGTTTCCTCTTTAGGGAGAAAGCTGAATGTGTACTGTAGCTATGGTAATGTACCTGAATGTATCTGTGCACACACACATCTTTGACTATTATATAACCTATAATATAATTCTGCTTAACACAAAACTCTACAATGTAGTTGCTTTTAATTATACATTATCTTCATAAGCTACAATCTTTCATTAATCTTCAGTCCAACACCACAGTCAGCACTCTTGGGCCTCTGCCATTGAATGTAAATCTCCACGCAAGAAATCATAGTCTTATCTTTGATTCTGGTTTTAAATTTGATAAACAAATCAACTCCATAGTCAGCACTATAATCTTTCATCTTTGATCACTTACAAATTAAAGTTCACGTTTGTCAAGAATTTGAAGACCGCAGTTCCTGCTTTTATTGCTTCTCATTTTGACTACTGTAATTGTCTCTCTGTAGTCATTCAAACAGCCTTGTGTTTCCTGCAGCTGGCTCAAAAATGCAGCAGTGGTTGCTTACTGCTACCAAGAAGAGAGACCATATCTCCCCTGTTCTGAGTTGAGAAGTACAATTGATTTTAAGATTCTGTTTGTAAAGCAGTGTGTGGAGGGGAGCCTGGTTGTACCTCACAACTCCTCATCCCCTATTCCACCTCCAAACCCCTCAGATCTGCTGACCAATTACTGCTCTTCACACTGCCAGTTAAAATCCATGCAGGGGTAATCAGGCATGTTCTCTTATGTTCAATATGTCCACTAAACTGTGGACTAGTTTGCCACTCACTGTTAGATCTGAAACCTGTCCGAAGACCCATCTCATCACAGTCATCATGAATACTGCTCACACTCTGTTTTGTATTTATTTGTTTCTGTTTATCTGCTCTCTGTGGTTTTATCCAAAATTATTTATTCTATGCATTTATTTATTCATTTACTTCCACTTAATTATGTCAGTGTTTTTATTTGGATGTATCATCAATTAGTTAATTTTATAATCTGATCTATCTGTAAAGCACTTTGGTCCACATTGTTTTTTAATGTGTTTTATACATACATTGACTTCATCTTTTACAGACACTTTCTAAAAGGCCATGACTGTCAGGAAGACAGGTATGGGGGCCTAGACTAAATCAATCAAAATCTGGCATTTCAATCAAAGATGTATTGGGGCCCTTCACACCAGGGGCGACTCGGTAGCTGTGCAAACTGACCTACTTCTGTTGGCCTATAGTTATTCAGTAGTAATAATTTCTCAGCTAGGTGATCGATGAGGATTAATAAATATATAAATAAATGAAGTCACACCCACCCACCCATTTCCCACCACTGTCAGCTTCCTTAAATAACAGAAAGGTTTTTCCAACGGCACAATTCCCCGGCATCTGCACTACAGCGTCAGGTGCGGCTCCATCATTCGCTGCAGGACTACAGGGGAGGAGTTTTTTAGAGCCGAGTCACACCCCCTGCACTACAGCGCTCCGTCCTTAAAAAAACCACTAAGAGCGCACAGCCCGTCCGTCACCGCACACTGCGAGAAAAATATGATCCCAACAAGAGCCGCTCCTGCGCTTCAACTCTTACGACAACCATTTCACTGCATTTAATTGCTACTGAAATCACAGTCCATCGCCGAGTCTGGTCCTTGTTGAACTATTTTCCTCTCCATTCTCCCGCTCTCTGTTTTTTTTTTTTTTCTGCGCTGGATCTTTCGTGCCAGAAAATGTGTGTGGAGAGCGATGGGTGCGAGATTGAGGGCTGCAGCAGTTCGGATGAGGTGCGCACGCTGTCGGGCAGCATGAGTCCCGGACTGAAATCCAACCCGGACCTTCACCCTTGCAAACCGGGGCAGAAATTCCGCGCAGCGCTCCTCAGATGCCGTTCACCGGCTGCTGCCGCCGGGATCCTCAGTTTTGGGAACGTCCTGAATTACATGGATAGATACACTGTAGCCGGTAAGAGACCTGACTTTTCTCTGTCTTTCTGCTACATCAGAATATATTTTTAGTTATTTCTCTTTATTTGCTGGAGTGACTGTACATGCTCTAATTGCCTGTGAGATGTTCCATCAGCTCACCTCAGCGGAGACGGGCGGAACAATGGGCTTGCCTAAGCGCAGTGGACAATCTAAACGCACAAGGCTGTTGTGTGTTTTCATGGTTGTACACTGTGTGTGGTGTGGTTAAATAAAAACAGGTAGCCCACATGTCTTCGCTATCACTGAAGAAAATGCTTCACAGTAATGATTTTAACCCGGGGCTGGTAGATAATTGCAGGTCAATCAATTAAGGCGATCAACTCTCCATCCACGAACCTGACTGTGTGTGTGTGTGTGTGTGTGTGTGTCGCTGTCAGACCAGTTTCAGCTACTGCAAAAATAGAGAGAGAGAGAGAGAGTATCACTGTGAAGAATCAGTCATTAGTTCTTGTCCGTTTCTGGGAGCGATTTAGTCCAACATGTAATAGGCTGCCTGTGTGTGTTGTGCGGCAGCTCGCTGTGTGATGCTGTGACGAGGCCATGTGGTGTTAAACCTCCTCAAGTGTCCGCATTTCCTCACTATAGGCCCAGAACATAGTTTATTAACACTGAACACTGTGTACAGATGGACATTAAGCCTGTAGTATTGGAGTGTGGTAAAATGTGAGCAGTGCATTTGTCTGAGCTAAATTATGGACTGATAAATAACTGATTGCGAAGATGACTAATTATAAATATATTGTTGTATCTGTTGTATATTGTAAGAATAAGGTATGGGTCTATAAGTCCATACAGTTTCATGCCATGTTTCTGTTGGTCTTTCTGCAGGTCTTTATTCAATTTTAGTATATTAGATTCCTTGTTAAGCAAGAATTGTCCTTTTGTTAAAATTAATGATGTTGCTATAACATATAGTCATGTTACATTACATTAGATCAGGTCAACATTTGTCCTCATATTAGTTTTACCAATATTTGGGAGCTGGATTTTTTATTTAGGCTACTTACCAAGGTTTGGAAAATTAACTGTGGCGCTGAACAGGTTAAAGATATTGCTGCAGCACAGAGAATGGAGGGAAGTGTGTTCATGGGGAGAGAGGCTCTTCCATACAAAGAGATGCCTCCTGGTTGAAGTGCAAGTGTGTAGTGATACTCTTACCGACTTACGTGTGCGAAATATTCACACAACAGAAATCTTACTTGTGATTGTATCCTTTTACTTCTTCCCACGTTATTTGCTACATATATAATTATGCGACATCAAGATTCCTGAAACTGATACAGCTTGAAAAAATGTGTATAATTTCACTCCGTAGCCCCTGGCTCAGAGAAGGAGTGGTTCATTCACGCAGAACAATGTGTACACTTAAGTATCCTCATGCCTCCGGCTCATTGTCCTGAAGGTTTCACGTCCAGTCTGTCAACTGTAAAGAGTCAAGTCACAAAGCCTTGGGCGCCTAAATGATCATTACAGCAGCTCGACCTACAGCCACGCCAAGAATGTGTTGATGTGGCCTATCTAATCTTAGCGTCTTCAAGCACCACTCAGACAGTCACAGCAGTTTAACTGACAAGCTACATCCTCATCCTCATTCGTGGGTGAGTAAGTCTCCCTCTACAGTAGCGATTTGTACTTACACCTCCTCGTGCTTTGATCAGAGGAAACCCCTCATTAGGGGCCTCAGAAACAACTCTATTCTCCTCTGTCCTCTCCATCATGATCCTGCCACTACTGCCTTTGCTGTTCATATCTCAGGAGTTGCAAGGCAGAAAATCCTTCGCTGGACCTCCGAGCGCTTGCTGTGCTGTGACGGGAGGACAAGTGACTGAGGAGAGATGAGGAGAACGTGGAAAAGGGAGGAGGAAGGGAGCGCAGGAGGATGGGGTTGGTGAGGGGAGGGGATGGAGGGAGGGGGGTGGTTGCAGCAGCTTGGGCTAAACCTCGTGGGGAGAGGCTGTGCTCGGTGCATGTGGTGCAGAGAGGGGTCCCTTCCCTTCCCAAATCCTGCCATCTGAACACTGCTGGACCGTTGTGCATTATGCATGTGCAGCATGTGCATTGGACCCTTGCACAGAATGAGGACCAGCAACCATGTGCATCCGAAACAACTAATAGATGCAGCATGAGCTGATCTGCCATTCTCCCTCCTGCTTCCATTTCCTTCTATCTCTCTTTAAGCCTTTCTCTCCTCTCCTGCTGTGTGAGCTACATTGCAGTAGTAATTAGGTGGTGTAAGTAGTGCATCTGTGTTGGTTGTTGTGTGTGTGTGTGTGTGTGTTGTGTGTGTGTGTGTGTGTGTGTGTGTGTGTGGAGTGGGCGTAACATAGAGCTGTATGGTATTTGAATATATGATATCAATATTGTGCTGTTGAATCAGATATGATGGGGGACTTGGTTATTGTAAAAATGCAACATTCACCTTAAATGTTGTCTTTTCCTGATGCAATTTCTGAGCTTTACATTATTCTAAGTGAAATGAAATATCAGTTTGTCTACTTTCCATTTCCACCGCCTTCTTCTACCATCAGCTCTTCCTGTCTCTAATCACTCTGTTTCTCCGACTTTCTTGTTCTCATTCAAACCCTTTCAGTAGCAGGTACCCAAAGCGCATCACAACTCATAGATCTTAATGTCAATTAAGCAAGCATGAGTGCACACCCACAGAAAGCACACACACACACACACACACACACACACACACACACACACACGTTAGAAAAGACTCTCCCCACCATTTCAAGAGGGGCTGAATGAGAGAGGGGAGTTGTGAGGGGAGGGGCTGGCTGCTGCAGTGGCAGGCAGTCAGAGGGAAGTGGATGCAGAATGCAGGCAGCGTTGAGCCAGAGCACGGCCGTTCCCCCTCGACGTCAAAAGGTCTTTGTACCAACAGCCATTACTGTAGTGTGTGTGGATCACTAAAGCATTGTCACGGAGACAGAGGGCGACCATTCCAGACACCGGGGGTATTCTGCTCCACAACAATGATGGGAAAATTGCACCCATGCACAGCAGCAGGGTCAAAGACTCAGATCTTTCTGTTAATTCCCAGTGTCAGAGGTGAAGCCACACACACACACACACACATAAAAAAACACCACATATAAACTGCCATTTATGATTCCAACATTTGACTTTTCCAAGATGATGGTAAGAACCACAAAAGAAGGGAAAAGTCACAATGCCTCTTTTTTTTTTTTTTACAGGAGTTTGTTTTGCTCTGGATTTGATAGATATACTGCCAATATGTTTTATACAAGACTTGACTATTTAATACCACAAGTTTGTGAGGAGGGACAGCTTCAAAACAAAGTAATTGTATGAGACTTGAGACTTAAACTGCTGCACATTGGAAGGGATGTTTTTGATCTCAGTGTGGCAATAGAATGAGTGAAAAAAATATATATTGTAACATCCTTCAGATTTTAGTGACTTGGTTTAAGTCTGGGAATGAAATTAACTGTAATCTAATCAAATTAATACATTAACTTTTCAATTTCTCCATTCCATAAACTGCTCTTTCCATTCCTTTTAAAATGTATTTAGAATATCTGTTTCACTTTTGTGATGCAGTGCGTTCAACTGGGGATCATCAGAGGGCTACAAGCAGTTCAAATTTCTGAAATTTCCATTCCTTTATGTTGCGGAATTGGCAAAAAGACAGTGATCTGGTTTTTGTCAGATACACTTATGGGCCAGATCAAAGTGTGAACAGCCACAGAGGAGCCCACTATTAAGTTTGAAGAGTGCAGAAGAGGAGGATGGTGTGAAAGACAGCAGTCAGCTACAAACAGTGAGTTGGACTTCAGGCTCAGCTGTTCATCTGGTGGGTCAGATCTGACCTGGAGTGCTCCTTCAGAAGCCTGTGCTTGTTTTTACGACTGTCTGTGATGCAGACAAGGCAGAAATGGGGAGTGTCTGGGACATTTGAGGGTGTCTGGATGAGGTATGCAGGGAATTGAGATGCACTGACTATACAAGATTGCAGTGGAGACCAGAGCAGAGCCGGATGAGTTACGATGCCCCAGTTGGGTCACTTGTGACTGGCCTTTGTAAGCAGCCATTTAATCCACAGCCACTTATATTCCATTTGCTTTTTAGAGTGCATAAGAGCTCTAAGATTTAGAGGGCCACTATATTTAATTTAATTTGAGGTGGCTTGGAAACCTTAAATCCTGTTGTTGGTCTCTCCGTAGTCCCACAGCAGACAGTCCAAGCTCCTCGACAGCTTATCATAAAGAGGGGATTAAGTGTTTTTTTCAGAGAATATTAGGATATGGGAGGCAGACATTCAGCACTTAAAGTTATTTGCTTGGTAAGTAAGTAAACCCTGGTGTGTGTTAACTCTAGCCACCCCCCTGTGTGCACCCAGTCACCCCCTTCTCAGCCAGCAAAGAGGCATTTTGGGGGGTACGGACTGCAGCCTAATCTGAACAGAAATGTTGGGGAGCTGCAGATTAGCGCTTCCACCAGGCACTTTAAGCTGAGTTGTCTCAGTCAAGCTGTCATTCCAGGAATACCTCAAAACAGGGTCACATCCCATTGGACAACTGCAGGACCCTTGCATGTGAACCTTTGGCATCTTGCATATAGACACAGATGACAGTGTGGTAATAATCTTCTTAAGGCGAGCTCTTTGTCACACTGTAAGAAAGATGGAGCAGTCTATCCAGTCTGACAGGCTGTACAGATTCATTCCTAGTCCATTTGTCCAGCTCCTCTGTGGCTACTCATTATCACTGTCCACATTAAGCCCAGGGCATTTCTCTGCATTAGCATTTCCTCGTAAAGTAATCACAGGGTAAATGCTGAGTTTATTTTGTGTCTTCTTCATGTTTTCCGGTCTGTCACAATCTTAAGCACTCTTTCTGAGTGGAAGTGCTCAAAACACAAGAAAAGAGCACCACTTTCAGTTCCACAGAGGCTAGAAGAGAAGAGAAGTGAAGATAGTGTAGGTGTCCACTACACCACAATCCCAAA